GCCACACCTCCTTCTGCCTGTTACATACATTTTAACAAAACCATTATACCCTGATATCTCATTTTCAATGGGTTTTGGGTATATAAATACTAAGTAGAAATTGTTGCAAACGTTTCGTCCGTTGTGCTTGACTTTCCACATTTGAAATACGCGGTCACACTAATCGTATGTCGATAAACGAGCGATATTAATTTGCGATATTCAGCTGACGCAGAGAAATGGCAAACATACATTACAGTGTGTTAGCGGTGTGTATCTGTATTGTTTTTTATTCGGAATTCGTTTCGTTGCGGTTTTCTGTTTTGGCTAAAATTGGTGCGCGCGGGTTTTTTTAGAGGTGACTTTGGCAAAGTGCACCGTAGAAGGGAGCACTCTACTCATTTATTTAAATATCATTTTACATATTTTTTTAATTATACCTGTGCATGTGTGCCCGCGCGTGTACATGTGTGGAGCTCACAGCTGTTTACGCGACACCAGTAATTCACAACGGATAGCGGTAATTTTTGTACGTATATTTTCGCCACTTTCTTTAAAATATGTACGTAATCAGCAATGTGCATGTGTGTGGACATTCGCGAATTCGAGCAAAACAAAAAACTGATAAGCTGTTGAATGACGTCGTATCAGCAAATAAATACATACATACATATACATATATGCTCATATGTGTTAACCGCCGACTCATCTGGTTAGGACCGTGCGAGCGCGAAAGGGAATCGCTATAAAAATTCATCTGTTGTGTGTGTGGTGCATGTGTGTCTCTTATTTTTTTTTGTTTTCAATGATTTTTTGACACATTCGTTATACATATTCCTTTAAATTCGGAAAAAGAATTCTATTTTTAGTTTATTTTTAATAACTACATTATGCATCTAACGAAACATGCACACGCTCAACAGCTGATGCCATATAAATGAAGCATACCGATACGGATGTGAGCGTTGTGTGTGTGTCTGCGTGCGTGAGCTTGAAAAATGAATATATATGTATGTATATGTGTGTACATAAATACATTCAATGTTAAGTGCGATTACCTTTAGCACTTAGAAAATTATCACGATGACATTGCATATTGACGAATCTGGTTGAGAAAGCAATTTATTGTACAAATTGGCTTTTATTTTGCGATCATTTCTTTAGAAGCTACTGCTAAATATACGAGAAGGTAACAAGATTACACCAGTTGTAGCCGTAGTCCCTATCGTGGTGTAATTTATGACGTCCCACCCAATAGTTTATTGTACTGGTAAGTGAAGAGAACACAAGATTTTCGTTATTGTTGAATACTTTGGAGTGTTATGTATTAAATTAAAAGTCATCGATGATATTAAATTACATAAATTAATAAAAAAAAAATCTATGAATAGCTTTTATAGCTATACCTCACGATGTAAATAATAATAATAGTTAATGCAAAAGTAATCAAAATTAATCTGGGCCTTAACAATACCTTTGGTATTTGAGTTTTAGAAATTGAGATGGCCTGGACTAGATCACAGCTTCTCTCTTATTTATTTATCTTTTGTATTTTCGACTTAGGCTTATTAATCCATAACGGGACATAATTATTACGCAAATGCTCTGAAATAAAGAAAGTAATTTATTAGTTGAGTGCTTCCGTTAAATTACAGAATCAGCTATTAGTTGTATAATAAGCAAATCTATTACATATGTATGTACATAATTGTTGCCATTAGAAAATAGTTCTAATAGGGACTATAAAAATTGATGTCTAGGTGGACTGAACCACTCCTTTGATAAGACATATTCCAGTTGGAAATGCTTGCGTGTATGTATAAATAGTTGTATGTATGACGTGGGTCTATACCTTTAGGGGACAGTTTAAATTCTATTATTTATACGCGTGCCTTGATTAGTACAATCGAGCGAATAGATGCCATCTCACTCGAATGGTTAATATATATACATATGTAGTATTTCTCAATTAGTTCTGTGATATGATTCATTCGTATTACTTTTCCAAGCACCACGTGAGTCATAAAATGATTTAGATTGTTAAGAGTTTTGATAGTGTTTTTATAGAAAATTATTTCCGATCCTTGTCGAACTTCTGAAAGACAGAGAAATGGTATGTACACTAAGCGTTATCAGGTTAGTGCTAAATAAAATCTAAACCATCAGAGCTCTATCTTTAAATTTTGTATACCCTGAACCCATTGAAAATGGGAAATCAGAGTATAATGGTTTTGTGAAAAATATGTAACGGGCAGAAGGAATCATCGCAGACTCCATAAAGTATATATTTTCAGGATGTCGAGCTGAGTCGATATAGCCCTGTCCATCCGTCCGAAAGTAAAATAAGAAATCAGGGTATATTGGTCTTGTTAAAATGTATCTAACAGGCAGAAGGAGGCGTGACAGACCCCACAAGGTATATATATTCTTGATCAGGGCGCTGAGCTGAGTCGGTTTGGCCCTGTCCGCCTGTCTGTCTGTCTGTCCGTCTGTCCGTATATTTGAACGCGTCGATTTCAGAAGATATAAGAGCTAGAGACTTCAATTTTTTTTTT